TTTGCTGTGCAGAAGCTTTTTATTTTGATGCAGTCCCATTTGTTTATTTTCTCCTTAGTTTCTCTTGCCCTAGGAGATGTATCAGCAAACATATTGCTACAAGAGATGTCTGAGATTTTTGCTGCCTATGTTTTCCTCTNACATATTGCTATGAGAGATGTCTGAGATTTTGCTGCCTATGTTTTCCTCTAGGATTTTTATGGTTTCATGTCTTACATTTAAGTCTTTTATCCATTTTGAATTTACTTTTGTGTATGGTGTAAGTTGGTGGTCTAGTTTCATTTTTTTGCATGTACCTGTGCAACTTTCCCAACAGCATTTATTGAAGAGACTGTCTTTATTCCATTGTATGTTCTTCCTCCTTTGTCAAATATTGACCATAATGGCATGGGCCAATTTCTGGGTTCTCTGTTCTGTTCCACTAATCTATATGTCTGTTCTTGTGCAAGTACCAGGCTATTGTGATTACAGTGGCTTTGCAGTATAACTTGATATCTGGTATTGTGATCCCTCCAACTTTGTTCTTCTTTCTCAAGATTGCCATGGCTATTTGGGGTGTTTTTTGGTTCCATATAAATTTTCAAAGTGTTTTTTCTAGATCTGTGAAATATATGGTTGGTATTTTAATATGGATTGCATTGAATTTATAGATTGCTTTGGGTAGTACGGACATTTTAATGATGTTAATTTTTCCAATCCATGAACATGGTATATTTTTCCATTTGTTTATATCTTCCTCTATTTCTTTTTTCAGTGTCCTGTAGTTTTCCGAGTAAAGGTCTTTTACATTTTTGGTTAAGTTTATTCCTAGGTATCTTATTTTTTTAGTTGCAATGGTAAATGGGATCGTTTTTTTAGTTTCTCTTTCTGAGAGTTCATTATTGGTTTATAAAAATGCCATCGATTTCTGGGTGTTAATTTTGTATCCTGCTACCTTACTGAATTCGTTTATTAAATCTAGTAGTTTTTGGTGAAGTCTTTAGAATTTTCTATGTACAATATCATGTCATCTGCAAATAATGACAGTTTTGTTACCTCCTTTCCAATTTGGATGCCTTTTATGTTTTCTTCTTGTCTGATTGCTGTGGCTAGGACTTCCAGTATTAGGTTGAATAAGAGAGTGGTGAAAGTGGACACCCCTGTATTGTTCCTGTTCTTAGGGGAAATGGTTTGTTTTTGTCCATTGAGTATAATGTTGGCTGTAGGTTTGCCATATATGGCCTTTATTATGTTAAGGTCTGATCCCTCTATTCCCACTTTGCTGAGAGTTTTTACAAAAAATGGGTGTTGGATTTTATCGAATGCTTTTTCCACATCCATTGATATGATCATGTGATTTTTGTCTTTCAATTTGTTTATGTGATGTACCACATTTATTGACTTGTGAATATTGTACCAGCCTTGCATCCCTGGAATAAATCCCACTTGGTCGTGGAGTACGATCTTTTTAATATATTGCTGGATCCAATTTGCTAATAACTTGTTAAGGATTTTAGCATCTATGTTCATCAGGGACATTGGCCTGTAATTCTCTTTCTTTGTAGTGTCTTTATCTGGTTTTGGAATTAGGCTAATGCTGGCCTCGCAAAAAGAGTTTGGAAGTGTTCCTTCCTCTTGGATTTTTTGAAATAGTTTGAGGAGGATAGGTGTTAATTCTTCTTTGAAAACTTTTTTATGATCAGAATATTTTTTTAAATCAACTCTTACAGTCAAATTTTATAAACTATGGCAGACTGAAAATTAAAATGTTAAGAAATAAATTAATATGGCTCATTAGTTTTTAAGACTATACTAACATTAAATCATTAAAAAACAAAAGCAAAAGAAGGCATTTTAATGTTGAGTATAAAATAGCAAAGTTACAAGAAATCACATTAAGAGTAAATGCACACAACACTTATGAAAACAAGGCTAATACAGACCATCTGGAGAGTACAACAAAGCATTCTTCTTAGTAGGCTTATTTTTATATGTTCACACTGTAGTTCACCTCACACATTCACCACCACAACACAAAAACAAGTGATCAGCAAATGTTTTCCCTATTGATTTTTTAAAACAGAAATTGTCAAACATAGAAGAAAAATTTAAAAACCCAGGAAGTCAGCCCTGACCAGTATAACTCAGTTGGTTGGGTGTTGTCCCATACATGGAAAGGTTGCTGGTTCAGTTCCCAGTCAGGGACATGGCTGGGTTGTGGGCTTGATCCCAGGTAGGGGGTGTGTAGGAGAGAATAGCCGATCAATGTTTCATTCTTGAATTGATGTTTTTCTCTCTCTCTCCCTCTCCCAAAAAAATCAATTTAAAAAAAAAATCTTAAAAATAAATAAATAAATAAACAAACAAACAAACAAACCAGGAGGTCTTGAAAATGTACTGTTCAGCACAGAGGCTCAGAGCTGTTCCTTTCTGTTCACCCCATGAAGTACTTCATTAAACCACTTGGAAGAATTTATTTTCTTGATATATCATTTCTACTGGATGTTCCATTTGAAAATTTTCCCACCTGTCCTACACAATAGGCGCTGATTTCTTCCTTTTGGATTTGCCTTCTTGACTTTTCCTCTTTTTATTTATCCTTAAGCTATAATCACCAAATACATTCTTATTATTATTTTGAACACATTATTAACTGTAAGATCAAATAAGAATAAGGGATTTTATTTTACCTTCATTGATTCCTTCTCTAACATTCTTTCTTTATTAATTCTTAGTTTCTAACCTGTATCATTTTCCTCCTCTTTGAGGAACTTCTTATCATCATTTCTTGCAAGGCAAGTCTACTGGTGACAAATTCCCTCAATTTTTGTTTGTCTGAGGACATCTTTATTTCTCCTTCATATCTGAAGGATAATTTCATTGCTTACAGAATTCTAGGTTTGTGTTTTTTCCTTCTACTCAATTCTTGTTTGCACGGTTTCTGTGAGAAGTCTGATGTACTATAGGAAGGTGTTTTCCCCCTCTGGCTTTTTCCAAGATGTTCTATTTGTCTTTGTTTTCCTGAAGTTTGAATATAACTTTAAATTTTCTTTGATATTTACCCTGTCTGATGTCCTCTGACCTTCCTGGTTCTGCAGTTTGGTGTCTGTCATTAATTTTGAAAAAATTGTGGCCATTATTACTTAAAATAGTTCTCCCACTCTCTCTCTCTCCCTCCCTCCCCCCTTCCCTCCCTTTCTCTTTCTCTCTCTCCTTGCAGTCAAATAAGCACATATTACACCTTTTAAAATTGTTCCACAGTTCTTGGATAGTTCAGTTATGTTGTATTTGTTTGTTTTCATTCCTATTTCTTATTTGTTTAGGAAGTTTCCATTGACATATGGTCAAGGTCACTGAATCTTTCTCCAGCTGTGTCCAGTTTACTGATGAGTCCATCAAATGTGTCCTTCATTTCTGTTATGTTTTTGATTTCTAGCATTTTCTTTTGATTTTCTTAAATTTCCATCTCTTTGCTTACATTACCCATCCGTTCTTGCATCTTTTTTACTTGCTCCATTAGAGCCCTTAACATATTAACCAGTTACTTTAAAATCCATAGATAATCCCCAAATTTGTGTCACATCTCAGTCTAGTTCTGATGCTTGCCTTGTCACTTCAAACTGTGCTTTCTCTTGCCTTTGAGTATGACTTGTAATTTTTTTCTTAAAAGCCAGATGTGATTGCCCTGGCCAATGTGGCTCAGTTGGTTGGACCATTGCACCATACACACCAAAAAAGGTGGTGGGTTCGATTCCTCCTGGTCAGGGCACATACCCAGGCTGCCAGTGTGGGAGGCAACCAATCAATGTTTCTCTCTCTCTCCCCCTTCTTCACTCTAAAATCAATATAAATAAATAAATAAATAAATAAATAAATAAATAAATAAATAAATAAATAAAGCCAGATGTGATATATCCCATACCAGGAACTGAGGTAGACAGACCTTTAATGCTTAATGTTAATCTGCTTGGAGGTATGTTGTGTTTAATGTTTGCAGCAGCTATAGGTGCCAGAGGCATCACTTTCCTCTAGAGGCCCCGTTTGACTTTTATTTTTCCTATTGTCTTTGAGCTTCCCCAAGAACTGCTTCCTAAACAGAGTCTGCAGCTCTTTCAGTTGTAATCCACTGCTACTATACAGGAGTAGGGGAGGGAAAGCACTCTATTATCTTATGATTAAATGTCAGTGTTTAAGTTCGCTTGACTTTGTGTTCAGAAGTGTTTCTTAAATATTTTTCACCCTTAGATAAAACAGCAGGTTAAAGGTTAGACTTGACTAACTGCCCTTCCCCAGGACAGAAAAGGTCTGGCAAAGTTTCCCTTGTAGTGTTGGCCTTTGTTTCTGAGAAAAGACCGCTCTGGGCCTATTTCAGAAGGTTACTTTTCTATCCCTCTAACCCAAAATTTTAATAAATTTTGCTTAGATTTTCACTGTGAGAAACTGGTGGGGTTCCTGGCAAAAAAAAAAAAAACTAATGAAATTTGGGAGGTCCCTCCGACACTTGGGTTTAAGGAGTTTCTCACTGTCAAGCTAGTCCAAAATCAGCATCCAGTAATTTGTCAAAATTCCCATTTAAGCATTCCTACCAGTTTATGGCTCCAGCAGCTTCTGGTCCTGGCAAGTTGATCTTGGCTGTGATTCACCATATTTACACATCTGCCCAGATTTTGGGGTGGCAGCTTGCCCTGTGGCCTCAGTTCTCTTATGGGTCTAAGTCACTGACTTTTATTCAGTTCAGCTTTTTACTTCTCTTCTGATGTGACAACTTCCAAGCTCTTTAATGCTGGAGCTGAACAGTCTGTTTTTCAAATTCCAATTATAAAACTCTACCACTTCTACTGACTCTCTCTTATTCTGTAGCTGCTGTAGCTGCTCCAGGGAAGAAAAAACCCTATAGGAGGGACTCCAGGTTCTGAAAGGAACATGTGGGGGCCACACTAAAAGCAGAACAGTTTTCATTCTGAGATCTCAAAACTTTGACACATTTTTCTTTTGGCTCCTTACAAAGGAAGATCACAAAAGAGGATCTGTGTTTTCTGCTTTGATTCTGTAGCCATCAATCACTTGTGCTATTTTCCTTTTGCTGACTGATCTTCTCTGCTGCTTGGCCTCACTTAGAGGTTCTGGAGCACACTGTCTCAGAACAAGGGGGTGCATCAAGTCCTAGCTACTCAATCAGCCAACTGGGATCTGGCTAGACAAGGTGGGTACAGCTGGATTCTATTGTTAGGAATGCCTTGATATTTTCTAAAAGTTCTAAAGTTTTTATTTTCCTATTTACACATTAAATTCATCTAGATTACATATTGAGGGCGGAATCCAGTTTCTTTTATTACTCTCCAAATAGTACACTTTGAAGGCTATTTTCTGTCCCAGCCTTTCAGATAAAAGCAATAGCTGATCAGATCTGTAAAACATCTTGGTATCTACTTTTCTCAGTTATCAGCACCATCCTGACAATTTTCTGGCAATTCATTAATTTAACAGATAACTATTCAGCAGAATATAACATAGTTTATACAGTATAATTATTATGGTATTAAATTATTAGAAAATATGGCACAGAAATATATAGAAATGTTAATACTTAGTGAATGAGATTATGAGTGACTTTGTTTTCCAACTCCTGTATTTTCCAAAAGTTTGTAATGTATTCATATTACTTCTATATTTCAAAAAATATTATTGATGCCTATCATGAAGAAAGTAGTATGCCAGGTAGTAATATATAGGGGAAAATTAAAAAGAAATATACTAGCAGGTCCTTGATTCCCAGAAGCTTCCCAGCTACTGGGGGAATAAATTACAATGTGAGGTAATATATAGCTCACATTTCACAGGAAAAGAATTTACAACTTCAAAAAATATTGCAGCAGAGAGTTACAGTAACCGAAATCACTAGCTGATGTCTCCACAACAATCTTACTCAAGAGTATGGCCAATTTGGAGAGTCAGCCTATCCTTTTGGAAAGATACTGTGGGAGGGAGCCATAGTTTATTTTAGAATCTCCTGTCTTTTCCTTGCTTCCCACTAGTGGGTGGCATGTCTTGTGCTCTCCCAATCCACTGGCCAATTTTGAGGTGGACAAACTCTAAATGAATTTAATTTACTGTGCCATGCTGAGGGGAGGTTCTAAGCTTTGTATGGTCTAAAACAAAAACAGTTTGGGGACCTTCTTCAAAAAGAATACGAAATTAGGTGCTGGAATTGGAAGAGGTTCATGCAAGGGAAGGACCTGAAGCTTCAATTCATTACCTTCAAGGTAAATGCCTCTCTGCTCATGGTTCCTAAATGGGTTATTATTCATAAAGTCACTTGACATACGGGATACCTATATCTACATCTATATGTATGTAAATTACCAAAAAGTCTATGAAACAGAAGGCTTTTCTAATCAGTACCTTATTTTAAGCAACAGACATGAAAATAAAATTCCAGAAAATAAAAAATAAAAATAGATATTTACATGGCATTTGTTATCATGGTACCTGGAGAAGCGGTTTAGTGCAGTGGCTCAGAGTGTGAATTTTGGAGTCAAAATGCCTGGGTTGAAATCCAAGCTTCACTGCTTCTTAGCTGGGAGACCTCAGGCAAGTTATGTGATGTGACTACTCTGTGGCTCAGTATCCCTCACCTGCAAAATGGGAATAGCACCTATCTAAAGGGGTTCTTGCAAGAATTAGATTAGATTAGGACAGCAAGATTAATTAGTACATGTAAAATACTTAGAGTCTGGCACATGGTAAGTGCAATAGAAGTGTGAGCCATTAGTATTATTTGTTAACACATCACTTACAATTACAATTCAACTGGGTAACTATTCCCGTTTTCTGAGCATCTCAACTGATGCTTATGGAGCTCTGTAAAATATAGCTTAATTTCTTACAAGAATTTTTTTTATTTTAAAAAGACCCTAAATTCCATCAAAGAGAAATGGATTGAATGAATTAAGGGCATATCAATATCACTGGTTTTTAAGTTCAATAAAAAGAATGAGGTAGACGTATATGTACTGGCATGGAAAGATGTCTGATATAATATTATATGAGTCTATTCACCGTTCTTTTGTATGTATGTTGTATCCTGTTTGTATATGTATCAATGTTTCTATTCACATAGAAAATGCCTGGAAGTATGCATGCCATACCATAAGAGTGGGTAGATCAGGGGGTGGGACTGGGGAACTTATGTACTTATATCCTATCATAACTTTGTATTTTATATATGTATTTCTTTTATAACTTAAAAAAATCTGAGTCAGAATAAAAAGCTAAACCCACCTTGGTGTGTCCACGAACTTCTCAATCAGCATAGCATCGTCGTTGAAAGACTTCTTAGCTTCCCTCCGTGCCGATTCTAACTGCTCTTGAAATTCTTTTTCAGACCTAGCAATCCTCATACCCTAAAATGGAAAGATAGTTATGACTACAACATAAATAAAACAAAGGAGACTAGCCTGAAATGAAGAACACAAGCATGCACAGTCTTACCTTCCCTCCTCCACCACGGACGGCTTTAATCATGACGGGGTAGCCGATCCTTCTAGCCTGCTCTCTCAGGCATTGGTCTGTTTGGTCATCGCCGTGATAACCTTCCACAACAGGGACTCCAGCAGCAGCCATTATGGATTTGGATGTACTTTAGAATAAAAAAACCCGATACCCAAATTCTATGAAATACTTCATACAAGAAAAACAAATGCATGCCAGTCTATAAAATATAACAGAACTTTTTATTTCATTTTAATTTTAAAAAGATATTTTCTTTTTTATTGAATTTATTGGGCTAGCATTGGTGAATAAAATTATACCAGTTTTAGGTACACAATTCTATAATATATCATCTGTATTATAATGGAACTTTTCAAAGAAAACATCCCATAGATAAAGAACTACAGTCCGAGACAACAAATATTAATACAAATATTAAAATGCGTGTTAATTTCCTTCAATCCAGTTTTTCATGTGGTAGTTCATCCTTGTTTTTATCCCCCCAAAAGAATTAGCATATTTATTAGAAATTCTAATTAGCTGAATATTTTCTGTAACTCACTGGAGTGCCAGATAAACAATTTATGCCTATGACAACAAAAGTGTTTTATTAACATGTCTATTATAGGTAAAACAAATAATTTAAATTGAATTTCCTATGGTTGTATTTAAAAGATAAACTCATACCTCTTTATACCCATGTCTCTAATTGCAGATGAAGGAGGTCCTATAAAAATAATTCCTTCTTGCTCACATAGTTCAGCAAATTCCACGTTTTCTGAAAGAAAACCATACCCTGGGTGGATAGCCTAGAAGTGAGAAATGAAGACAAATTTAGTAGTGTTCCACCTGCAAACTGTGCTGCAGGTGACGTCATTTTCTCTGGGGAGGCCTCTCCCTATGCTAGTGATACGTACACTATGGTCTCTATCAAAATTTGTTTCTAACAGATATATAAAATATTCTATATTGAAGTTCTAAAGCCTTACCTGAACCAGAAGAATCTGTATTTCTTCTCATGGTGGTAATATATACATAGCATAAACCTCCATTTAACCACTCTTAAGTATACAATTCAGTGGCATTAAATACATTCACAATGCTTTGCAACCATTACCACCAACCATCTCCAGAATGTTTTCATCACCACAAATAGACACTCTGTACCCATTAAACATTAACCCCCTTCCCTGGTAACTTTCTGTCTTATAAATTTTACTTTCTGTCTCTATGAATTTGTTTATTCTAGGAACCTGATATAAGTGGAATTATAGAAACTTATCCTTTTGTGTCTGGCTTATTGCACGTAGCATAATGTTTCTGATGTTCATCCATGTAGTAGCATGTATCGGAATTTCATTCCTTTTTTAAGGCTGAGTAATATTCCCCTGTATGTACATATTCCACATTTTGTTTACCACTCACCTGTTGATGGATATGGATTGTTTCCACCTTTTGGCTATTATGAATAATGCTGCTATAAACTTTGATGTACACGTATCTCTTTGAGTCCCTGCTTTAAATTCTTTGAAGTATATATCTACAAATGAAATGGATGGATCATATAGTAGAGAAGAACCTGTGTTTTAATTTAAAATAATACTGCTATTAGGGTAGAATGTCAAGGAATATTTGTAAGTAGGAACAAAGGTAATGGGTATTTCCTGACTCTGCCTTTGTATGGAGCTGGCCTAGCACTGAAACTGAGAAGAGCACACTAGCACAACCACACCTCATTTACGTCCAAGTCACTGTGTGCACAGGTCACCTTTCTAAAAAGAAAACTGAGAAGCAAACAGAAAGCCAAATATTAAAGTCTGCACATACTTTAGTGAAAGAGGATTCCCTCAGACTTCTGCCTAGTTATTTGCAAGTTACTCAGAGTTCTAACGAATTTATTTATCTGGCTTTCTCACTCACTGAAGAGGGCAATCAGTGACCAAAGAACAGTGTGCTTTCTCAGGGCAAACATGCTGACAGGAAAGAGGGAAGACATGGGAAAGCAGGCAGCAGCTTAGCTTATTTAGTGAGGGATGAAACAACTCGCTCTCCCACTTCAGTAGCCCTCAGGGCAGTTTTGTTATTCTAAAATAATAACTATAATCAAGTAAATGTAAAAAGGAAGCTCCGCCAACCCTATTTCAAAATAGTTTCATCTAAAGAACATTTCCAACTTAAAATGGAAGCTTCTGATGTCGGAAACTCATGTGAATAGAAAAATCCAGATCTTACCGACAGCAAACAAAATGCTAAATACTGAATAAAATGCTAAAAGTTACATTTTGATGTCACTTTGGAATTTTGTTTCTTTTAAACCAGGGGAGGGGAACGTCCAGCCCGCAAAGTCATTTGGTCTGGCCCTGCCAAGGCCTCACCAAAGAGAAGCAGTTCCAGCCATCACATTAGGGGTGAGTTGATTAAATCTTTGACCAAAAAATTAGCTGGCTAATTTTTAAGTGGATAATTTTATATGGCCTGTGAATGATGTTATAAATATCCAAATGGCCCTTGGCAGAAAACAGGTTCCCCACCCCTGTAAATTTAAACCAGTGTTCGATTTTGGACATTTTCTATGATATGGTCAAACATTTTTATGCTGGGCAAAGTGAAAAAGTCTGCACTCAGTCCTCCCTGTTTTTTTTAACAGTTTTTTTGGGATATATGACTTACAATATATAACATTCATCCATTTATAGTTTTATGAATTCGGTAAATTCATACAACTGTGCAACTTACTACAATCCAGTTTTAGAGTATCTATCACTCAAAAAAGTTCCTGTGTGCCCATGTGCATAACTAATTAATTCTTACTTTTAGAGCCAAGCATCTACTGACCTGCTGTCTCTACAGTTTAGCCTTTTTTAGACATGTCCTAGAAATGCAATCATGTAGTGTACAGTCTTGTATATCTGACTTCTTTAACTTACAGTAATTTTTTGAGGTTCATCCCTGTTGTTACCTGTACTGGTTGTTCATTTCTTTTTATAGAATTGATACCATGATAGATACAGCACATTTAGTTCATGCATTCATTTGGATTTTTTTCCAGGATGAGCCATTATGGATAATGCTATTGTGAACATTCATACAAGCCTATTTTTCACTTCTCTTGGGTAAATGCTCAGGAGGGCAACTGTTGGGTCAAAATATGGTAAGTATACGTTTAACTTTTTAAAAACCAGCCAAACCGTTTTCTAAAGTAGCTGTCCTGCTCTGCATTTCTACCAGCAATGTAGGATGGTTCCAAGTTTCTCCACATCCCTGCCAACATTATCTGTTTTACTTATAGCATCATAGTGAGTGTGAAATGGTATCAGTGGTTTTCCTTTCAGTTTCCCAAATGGCTAATGATATTGAGTATCTTCTCTTGGGCTTATTGACCATTTGTGTATCTTCTCTGGTGACATGTGTCTATTCAAATTCTTGGCCCATTTTCTTCAATTGGGTTGTTTGGTTGTAAAATGTTTCTTATATATTCTGGATACAAGTCCTTATCAACTATATGTTTTGCACATATTTTCTCCCAGTCCATGGCTGATCTTTTTATGTTCTCAATGGTTTCTTTTGAAGAGCAAAGGTTTTAGATTTCGGTGAAGTCTATTTTATCAACTTTTTCTTTTAGGGATCTTGTTTATGATATCATATCTAAGAAATCATTGCCTAACTTTCTCAAAGATTTTCTCCTATGTTTTCTTCCAGAAATGTTATAGTTTTAGGTCACCCATTTAGGTCTATGCTACATTTCAAGCTATTCTTTTTTAATGAAAAGTGTAAGGTAAGAGTGTAGAAACTAAACTTTAGGTTCATCTTTTTTTTTTTTTTAGGTACATCTTTTTGCATATAAATACTCAATTGTTCCAGCACCATTTGTTGAAAAGACTACCCTTTCCCTATAAAATTCCTTTACCTTTATTCAAAAATTAATTGACCATAAATGTGCAACTTTCTATTCTGTTCCATTGACCTATACATTTATTCTTCTGATAACACACTGTTGGCTACTGTAGCTTTATAATGAGTTTTGAAATCTAAGAGTCTAAACCCTACAACTTTGTTAGTCTTTTCAAAATTGTTTTAACTATATTCTAGGCCCTTTGGCTATTTGAGGATCAGGCTTGTCAATTTCTACAAAATAGCCTGTTGGTATTTTGATATAGAGTGAATTAAATCTATAGATCAATTTGGAAAAAACTGCCATCTTAACAATATTGAATCTTCCAATGATATATCTATCCATTTTCTTAGAATTCCTTTAATTTCACTCAGCAATGTCTTAGTTTTCAATACATTGGTCTTGAAATGCTTTTGGTAACTTCGTAACTAAGTATTTGATTTTGATGATAATATTATGAATGCAACTGTTTTCTTAATTTCATTTTCAAAGTGTTTGTTGCTAGCTTCCTTTCTTTTGAAGAGATACTTAATTTGATAGAACTCTGATGAACTAGATAAATACGCTCCCTTCAAACTAAAAAGAAAAGCAGCTAGCTACTTGTGAATACAAAGTTTGACCACACGTTCTGGGAATGACCTCGAGAAGTTTAATTTCTCTTAAGAATAATTTAATATGTCCAAACCACAGTATTCTTGAGCATTTGAACAAATTAAAAAGGAAAAAACCAACAATACTATTACTACCACCAGTGGGCAATTTCCCTACCTATCAGGTATATATTTAGCTGCCAATTCACACTGGTGGGTCACAAAGTTACAAGCCTGTTTAAGATTGTTCATTCCATAGTACTAATATGCTTTTTAACAGGAAAGATAGAAAACTGGAAATGGCTAAAAATAGAAAAGAGAGTTCTATAAATAAGTACTTTCATGAAAATTGTGCAATACTTATGACTTTTGTGTTGTAAATCTCTTCATCACTCCTACCTGTGCAGCAGAGATCTTGGCCACTTGAATGATCTTTTCCATAGAAAGGTAGCTCTGCTGAGAGGGAGCAGGACCGATGAAATGTGCTTCATCTGCCTGTTTAACAAATATTACATGTTTTAAAAACCACAAGCCTCATACTCTATACAGAACTGCTTCAGGGACATAGTTATAAATAGAAATGCTGGCTCCCTAAGAACAATACAGAAGTACTAGCTCATACCAATGCTATAAAAATAAGCCACTTTGAAATTTTTTGCATGAAGAGAATGTCAAAATTTGAATTTTAGGTATATATCACACACTAAAGTAAAATGAAAGTGGCTTAGGTTAGAAAGCAACAGGAATTAGTCACAATATGAGACAGAAAAGTGGCTAGAAAGCTGCATGGGCCTGCTGTGCAATTCTGCAAGGCCAGGTGAAACTGATCACCGTGGGTTTGTCAGTGTTTAGAGATTTGCTGCAGACATAACGAAGGACAATAGTTGAATTCATCCATGTCTGGGTTCTGTATGGTGGATAATAGATAGTCATAATTGCTAACACATACAAACCTCAGGAGGGTCCTTTTAGTTATACTTTCGAGTGACTTGTCTCAGATTCCTTGGCCAGTAAATAGTAGTTGCTAAGACTACAATCTTGATCCTTTCCTCCTATATCAGGGATGGGGATATGAGCCACTCAAAGTGTGGTCTGTGCACCAGCCACATTCTGCGAATTGTTTTAACGAATCTTTATTGATAAGACCTTTCCTGTAAATCAACTACACCACAGAGTACACTGTTTAGTTCCACTGGTGTCACATTTGGAAAATGTTCCCAAGGGGAATTACTAGCAAGCAGTTGAATGTACCTACTGAAACCCTGTCAACACTAGCAAACATAAACTCTCCACATAAAGAACTAAAATACTGACACACTAAACAAATATGATCACTTACAAAATCTGACTTCCAGTTTTTAACGACATACCATGTCTACATGCATGGAATTCCTGTCAGCCTCACTATAAACAGCCACGGACTGTACACCCATTTTTTTAGCTGTTTGAATCACCCTGCAGGCAATTTCTCCTCTGTTGGCAATGAGGACCTTGGTAATGCTTCGTCCTGAAACACCATAAAAACGATACAAAAAAATGTTACTGGGGAGCAAGGAATGAGAATGCTAAATAAATATTCTATATTAACAAACTGATAAGCATTTATGTTAGTAAAATCAGCATAACAGAGCCTAAAGTAACCATTTTAGCTAATATTAGACAGTGCATTTCTTGTCACTGAAACTCAAGATATTATTAACATAAACTCTTAAATGACTCAGATTTTTCAACTTAAAATGAAATTAAAAGATGCTTTGTTATGCAAAAGATCAAAATAGCTTTTAAAAACCCATCGTTAATAATAATCTGTTTAAATTTTATTTTTCAATTACAGTTGGTATTCAATATTATGTTAGTTTCAGGTATAGAGCATAGTGGTTAGACAATTACATAACTTACAAAGCGATCCCCTGATAATTCAGGTACCCATCTGGCACCATACATAGTTATTAGAATATTATTGACTATATTCCTTATGCTGCACTTTACATTCCTATGATTATTTTGTAACTACCAGTTTATACTTTTCAATCCCTTTACCTTTTTCACCAAGCCCTCCAAACCCCTGCCACCTGGCAATCCTAAGTTTGTTCTCTGCATCTATGAGTCTGTTTCTGTTTTGTTTATTTTGTTCTTTAGATTCTTCATATAATTGAAATTTGACTTTCTATGTTGGATTTATTTCACTTAGCATAATATCCTCTAGGTCCATCCATGTTGTTGCAAACGGTAAAATTTCATTCTTTTTTATGGCTGAGTAATACTCCATTGTATATATGTACCACTTCTTTACCCACTTGTTTACTGATGGACAGCTGAGTTGCTTCCATATTTGGCTATTGTAAATAATGCTGCAATGAACATAGAGGTGCATATATCTTTTTGAATGAATGTTTTGGGTTTCTTCGTATATATACCCAGAAATGGAGTTGCTGGGTCATAACTCAGTTCTATTTTTAATTTTTGGAGGAACCTCCATACTGTTTTTCATAGAGGCTGCACCAATTTGCATTTTAACATTGCATGAGGGGGTTCCCTTTTCTCCACACCCTCACCAACACTTGTTTGTGGATTTACTGATGACAGCCATTCTGACAGGTTTAACATCGCATTGTGTTAATTTGTATTTCTCTGATGACTCATGACATTGAGCATCTTTTCACACATCTAATAGACATCTGTATGTCCTCTCCGGAGAAGTGTCTATTCAGGTCCTCTGCCTATTTTTTTATTGGATTGCTTGTTTTTCTGGTTTTGAGTTGTATGACTTCTTTATAAATTTTGGATATTCCCCCCTATTGGATGTATCATTTGTGAGTTGGTTGTCCTATTCAGTTGGTTGTCTTTTCATTTTGTTGATGGTTTCCTTTGCTGTGCAAGAACTTTTTAGTTTGATGTAGTACAATTTATTTTTTCTTTTGTTTCCTTTGCCCAAGGAGATATAGCAGAAAGAATACTGCTAAGAGAAATGTCAGAGTTTACTGCCTAAATTTTCTTCTAGGAATTTTGTGGTTTTGAGTCTTACATTTAATTCTTTAATTCATTTTGAGTTTATTCTTGTATATGGTGTGAGAATACGGGCTAGTTTCAGTTTTTCCATGCATTTGTCCAATTTTCCTAACACTATTTATTGAATAGACTATCTTTATCCCATTGTATGTTTTTGCCTCCTTTGTCAGAGGTTATCTGACCATATAGGCATGGGTTTATTTATGAGCTCCCTACCCTGTTCCATTGATTTATGTGTCTGTTTTTATGCCAGTACCATGCTGTTTTGATTACTACAGCCTTGTAGTACAGTTTGATAACAGGTACTGTGATACCACCAACTTTGTTCTTTCTCAAGACAGCTGTGTCTATTTGGGGTCTTTTGGAGTTCCATATAAACATCTGGATTACTTGTTCTAGTTCTGGGAAATATGCCCCTGGGATTTTGATAGGGATTGCACTGGATCTATAGATTGTTTTGGGAAGTATGGACATTTTAACAATGTTAATTCTTCCTATCCATGAGCAGGGCAGAGTAGTCTTGGTTGCAGGTCCTTACTTTTCATTACCTTGAATATTTCAGGCCAGTCCTTGCTGGCCTGAAATATTTCTGTTGAGAAGTCAGCTGAAGCTGACAATCTTAAGGGAGCTCCCTTGTAACTTTCTCTTGCTGCTTTTAAGATTCTCTCTTTGTCTTTAACCTTTGCCATTCAAATTATGATGTGTCTTAATGTGGACCTCTTTGGATTCATCTTTTTTGGGACTCTGCACTTCCTGGACTTTCATGTGTTTTTCCTTCACTACGTTAGGAAAGTTTTCAGTCATTATTTCTTCAAATAGGTTCTCAATTCCTGCCCTCTTTTTTCTTCTGGTACCTCTACTATTATGCAGATGTTCTTACACTTGACGTTATCACATAAGTCCCTTAACCTATCCTCATTAAAAATATATTTTTTTCTTTTTGCTGCTCTGATTGGGTGTTTTCTGCTACCTTGTCTTCTAAATCACTGATTGGATCATCTGCTTCATCTATTCTGCTGTTGATTCCTTCTAGTGTATTCATCATTACAGTTATTGTAATAATAACTAACCTTTAAATAAGTACTTTCTCTGCTCCAGGTCCTGCGCTAGAAAAACTCTATCTAGACTTAAACCTTCACAATAATCATATTAAGTAGATATAATTATTATCTCAATTTTAAAACTGAAGAAATTAAGATTGACAAAGATAATACCTTCCTGAAATTATACAGATAAAAAAAAAATGGTGGATCCAAGATTGAACCCAGGTTAGCTTCACTCCATAATTTGAGTTCTTAGACACTCTGCTGCACTACCTCTGTCACTCTGAGCACAGGGATATGTGGTTCTCTTTACAAAGTAAATGAATATTGCACCAGTTCATCAGTGCTACAATGATATGATATTATATTAATATATGAAATCCACTTTCATCACTACACATGGAATAAGTGTTCTTTGACAATTCATAAGTTGTTGTTTTTTCCACAAAAAATAAGGTTTTTATATATTTTAAAACAATGTTTTTCAATAAGGATCTATAGAGCCCAAGAGTTGCTGGAATGAAGTATGCATGTGTGTTTAGTGGGGAGGGGAGGGAACTACAGCTATCGACCACAAGTTATATTTCAGTACGTTTTATAGTTGGGAATTTCATGTAAGCTTTTATTTGAAAAAAATTTTTTTAAAGTCCTGCTACTTAAAATGCATGTTATAAAGCATTGGTTTAGATCATCACAGTTATGTTTTTCCAATACAATACACTATGAGAGTCAGACAGAAACAACATAAATATAAAATGTTCTCCATATTTCCCTATATATTTTAAACTTGACAGCAAGCTATGTGACATAAAGGAGGTAAAAACCATGACAATACTTACTAAAAAAATTATCACAAAAATCCAAAACTTCAAAAGTATATGAGAACTACTTCTATTACGCACAAATTAAAGGATTAAACATTTCCATCTCTTGGTTCACAGCCAGAAGCAAAGCCAAAGACTACAAAAACTGTTAATACCTGTAGTTGTTGCATACTTCATGGTTCTTTGCTTCCAAGCCCATCTCCTATAAAATGAGTCCAAATGGAGTTATAATTAAACAGAATATGCAAAACCAGTCAATATTCTCTCAAAATAATCTAAATTTTTAAAAACTTGAAACCAAGTACAGATATGACCTTAATTAAACCTTAAGCCTATAAAGTGATTTACTAAGACATTCTTTGTGGAAATAAAACTAATCTAGAAATCAGGAGTTAACAGTTCTGGCTGTTCTCCCTGGCAGTACGCGTCCTTGAATGAATCATTTAACCTGCTTGCTCCTGAGACTGGCATATGACCAGAGTCAAAGATGATTGATTGGAAAGCCAAGGTACTTCAAGATCATCTAGTTCAGCCTGGCTGGAGTGGCTCAGTTGGCTGAGAGTCATCCCGTGCACCGAAAGGTTGCTGGTTCAATTCCTAAGGGTCTATGGAAAGCACATCGATCTCTTTCTCTCTCCCTTCCTCTCTATAAAAGCATGTCCTTGGGTGGGGATTAAAACAAAAATCTAGTTCAGCTTTTTTCAATTTTTTTTACTAGAACCCAAAGTAAAAACTGTATTTGACCTCACAACCAGGTACGCACACAAAACATAAGTTTCATAAAAGAAGACTTTCTCTGTATTTTATTTTTATTCTATTTTGTTCTATTCCATTTTATTAAATAAAATACGCTGGTCAAACTATAGTTTGAAGAATACCAATATACCTCAACCCTCTGATAAGGTTTGAACAATTAGGCCCAAAGAAGAAAAGGGAAGGAGCTGAACAAGGGAAGGGGAAAGAATGCTGGTTGTAAGACCTGCTGGAGGAGCCACCCACTCACCAGCTGCTGGTGATCCTGGGCAAGCCGCTCTACATCAATGTTTCTCAGTCTTTTGTTTTCATTACCACCCCTTAGAAAATTTAAATACTAAGAAGTAAGATTTTTGTAGGCGGGGTTGAGATTTGAAGGGCTACAAATCATGGTGATATCTGTTAAAAAGAAGACGACAGGCCGAAAATGGCTTAACTTGTACTAAAGCCCATGATACCAAACCTAGATTTAATATCTGGTCTAATTGCTGTTCCAACCTCTCCCAGAAATAGTCTTAATCAACCAGTCCGGAATTTTCCAGTCAGCATCAGTTCAATACCCTCCTCCCATAGAAAGAGGCAATCTACATGATAAAAACTCTTGCTGTTCCCTTCCCCCCAAAATAAGGTGTCCTCGTCTAAAAACAATCCTTCTTTTATTTAATATCTCCCTGCACAATCCCTAGAAGCACACTTCCAGTTGCTAGATGGAATTTTGCTTTTTAACATACCTAAGATTTTTTTCACTCTCTCAAAAACGAATTTTTTTTTACAGCTGTTGGGGTTTAGGTCAGGCAAGATACTGTACAATGGCATGTTGATTATTTTGAATTAAAAATCCCTTGAGAAGCAGCAGGAGTGGCAGGAGCTCTCTGATTCTCCTCTGTCTCTCTAAATGCAGGAAATAAATCTCTTTGTGATAAGTGCCCTACCTGAAGTAGAGTTTGCCACACCAAAATATGCCTCTTTGGGGATATTGATCACTTTAGGTTGGCTAATTTTAAGAAACAGTAAACATGGGAGAAGCTTTGAAAATCAAGTAGAAGTTAGCCTTTATAAGAGGACATTTACATTTGTAAGGGAAATCTCATTTTGTAAGGTTATTTCCCTTACTGTACTAGGAAGAAGCTATCTAAATCTCTACAAACCATTATCTCTGCAGGTGTGCACTTCAATCTGCATAGTAATCTACCCTTGTTAACTGTGCTTAATCCTATAACTGATTCTCCATCCCTAACATCTTTAGTCTTGAGCTGAAGATGGTATTTAAAGTGATGGTTTCCCCCATTTTTGCAAGTTACTTAGTTTTCCTGGGTCTCCCCAATGTATACAGGAGGTATATATGTTATTAAACTTCAATTTGTTTTTTTCCTGCTAATGTTTCTCGTGTCAATTTGATTATTATTTGAACCAGAAGAACCTTGAAGGGCGGAGGGAAACTTTTCCTCCTCACTACAGGGCAATCTGTATACTTACTGCTCCGTGATGCCCACTCAATCAAATGTTGCCATCTATGAAGGGCTGATGGGAAGACCCACAGCTTTAACATTAAACTTCCACAAGATGACCTCCTCAAGAAGCTACTGCTGCCCAGCCAGGCGTGGCTCAGCGGTTGAGCGTCAACCTAGGATCCAGGCAATTGGGGTTCGATTCCTGGTCAGGGCACATGCCTGGGTTGTGGGCTCGATCAATGACTCTCTCATCATTGATGTTTCTATCTCTCTCTCTCTCTTGTCCTCTCTCTGAAATCAATAAAGATATATTTAAAAAAAAAAAAAAGAAGCTACTGCTTTCCCAAATCTTTCCAATTCAGCTGACCTCACTTTCTTGATCTTCAAGGAAGGGGAATCAACTTTCCTGATCTTTATAAGGTATTTTCTAGTTCATAGCATCTTCCCATCACACTCTTCAGATAGGTTTCTGATAAGATTCAAGGCCCATCCTGGGTAGATGTGTCTATAGAATGGCTGCTTTTTGTTAAATCCATATTAATCTTTAAAAGACGGCATTTAAAAGACAGCATCATACAAACTCCATATATTTTCCAGGATCGACTGTACAAATAATGGTTTCTTTCCTTTTGCCTGTAAAAAAGAATGTATATGCTTAAGTTTCTGAGTATTTAACCTTTAAAAGACGGCATTTAAATTCCATCAGCATTTAAATTCGGCCAGCGGGACCCACTCCTTGCCGGGAACCAAAGTTCCCTTTCATCAGATAAAGGTTAAGACTTAAGTTTCAAGGCCATTGCTGACTTAAAGTTTTCTTCTGCCATTTTCTTTCTTAGGATTTTTAAAAAATATATGATTTTATTGATTTCAGAGAGAGGAAGGGAGAGGGAGAGAGAGATAGAAACATCAATGATGAGAGAGTCCTCATCAATCAGCCGCCTTCTGCAAGCCCCCCACTGGGAATCTAACCTGCAACCCCGGCATGTGCCCTGACCAGGAATCAAACTTCACTCTCCTGGATCATAGGTCAATGCTCAACCTCTGAGCCATGCCGGCTGGGCTTCTTCTGCCATTTTCTAGTGAACACAGACAAACAACCACACACACCACTTAATTATAATCCTCTAATCCAACAATGGTTTGATTGACCTATTCAATTTTTCGCCATTACCTAAGCTACAACTTAAAACAATGGCTTGAAAACCAAGGTGAATAAGTTGCTTTTGAAACAGGTAGAACAAAACGTTCCCTCAAATTGCTCCATTGAGTCATGCCCTATGGGAACAAATTGCTCCACAGAGTTAAGCCTGCCAGAACTGTGGCAGTTATCAATAACTATCTAAAACAATGGCCTAGGAACTACACTGACTTCTTTTTAGTTTGCTTTTTAAATCTAAAGCCAAGCCACAAACCCCAAAGACAAATTCAATACCTGGTTGGGAAAGTTCTTTCCTGCATACCATAGTAAGTTTTGCATAATTCCAGAATTCCTCGCCTTACTGACACATACCTGGACTTTAGTGAGATCCCAGTGTTCCTAAAAAAGAACTTATACCCTGGTTGGTTTAACCCCAGCAACTTCCCTGTTCCCAAGGAATAAAAACCTGAAGCCCTACAATAAGGGTGCAGAACCTCACGCCCTATCTCAGCGTTCTTATCCTCTGCAGAGCCTCAATAAATCTGCCTTTGCTTTTATCAGTGTCCCTGGTCTAAATACTTTTTAAAAAAATGTATTTTTAAAAAATATATCTTTACTGATTTCAGAGAGAGGAAAGGAGAGGGAAAGTGAGAGATAGAAACATGATTGATGAGTCACTGATTGGCCACCACCTGCACGCCCCCTACTGGGGATTGAGCCCACAACCTGGGCATGTGCCCTGACCAGGAATCGAACCTTGATCTCCTGGATCAGAGGCCCATGCTCAACCCCTGAGCCATGCTGGTTGTGAGGCAGGAACCGCCGCCATTTTAGGAAGATTCCCCATCTCAGGTATCAGCTTACCTGCCTGAATGTATGTGTAACCTTACCTGACCTCTGTAACCCCGCCCACTATTTTCGTGCCAAAAGCAGACCCGACCTCTGACCCTATAAAGCTGACCCAACCCCTTTGTTCGGGGGCCCAGAATTTGGAGACTGCCTCCTCTGGAACTGCATGCGTTAGTAAAGGTCTCCTTTCGCCTCCTCCGGTGTATGGCCTGAGTCTTTTCCGCTACAGTTGGGCTAAATTCTTTTTTATTAGGAGAGGAGAACCCAAACTCATTGGTAACATTCACATTTATAAAATTCTACCACTAGATTTCTTTTCTCTGAGTTACTAGAGAATCATGATATAAAAAGAAATGTAAGTGCCCTCTACACTGATAAGGTTTTAAATTCTATATGCCAATGCAACTGTAATACTTTCCAGGTGACAGCTACTTGAGAACAAATCTATACACAATAGCTAAGGTTTAAGAGGGAGAAGGAAGAGATTGAAAGTGTGTCTGTATAGTATGAAGAGCCCTGTAAACCTAGGAAAATAAAACTCAGGAGAAAGAGAAGAGCACTAATACTGCTTCTACTAACTGTCTTATTCTGCTCTGGGGCAAGTCCTACAGTTAAATAACTGAAAATCCAAGACACTGAAATTATGGAAAACAAAAGCAAACAAGAAACTTGATCTAAATGGTTGAGTCTGCAAAGGGTACATCTGTTATTGATTCATATGCACCAGATTCCATTAAGCCTCTTTCCATGCAGTAATTCATTTAATTCACACAATCCAAGGTACTAGAATTATCTCCTGTAGGTACTGGTATCATCACCTTCTCCTAGGTCAGATCATTGAAACACAGAGATATTAAGTAACTTGCCCAAGGTTGCTCACACACCTTGTGAGTAGCAAGGCTGAGGCCCCTGACTTCCAAGTCTGTGCCCTTCAGCCCTAAGCGATGCTGTCTTTCCGGAGTGATGGAGAATGATGATGATGATGAAGCAAAGGAAGATAAAGAAGCCTGCTACCTGGAAGCAGGAGGGTGTCTTCCCTGCGAAACTTATTGTCACCGAAGATTAAGCTCAAAATTTGAAAAGGATCTGGAGTCAGGTGAGCTAGAGTTAGTCATGTATGGCTTTGTTTAAACGTGCATTCAGAGCTGCTGATAAAAGTTTCTCAGCCCTCTGGAAGGTAACTTGGCTTTTGCTAACTTGATTCATTCCAAAAATGAGAAAGAACTCCAGCAGTCTTTGAGCTGGAGGCTCTGAACCTAAGGCTGGGGGACAGCTGAACCTAAAGGGACTTTGAGGGCATCCTGGCCCACCACTTGCTACTTGTCACCTTAGACGAGTCGTCGACGCCTTTGGGTTCACGAGAACCGGAATTATATCCCCCCTCGCCCCCCCCACACACACACCCCGCAACGCAGGGCAAGCACAGGGACTGGGGTAGGAGCTGCACGCGCGCAGTGCCAGCCCTGATGGCCAGGGGAGCAGGGGGTGGCAGCCGGGCTCCGCCCCTCCCCCACTCCTCATAATTGGAAAAGCGGGAGCAGGCCGAGCGCTGAAGGGTGGATGGGGGGAGGGGGAGGAAAGGGAAAGACTGGGGCCCGGACGTCTCCCTCTCGACACCCTGACTAAAAGCAGAACCCCCCGGAAAGGGGCTGTTACCTCGGCGGCGGCAGCAGGCTCGGGAAACGTTGCCATTGGTTCCTCTCCGCCGCCACCAGCCGCACCAGCACCACAGAGGCCGCCGCCATGTCCCCGCAGCCCCGCGGCTCTCCCACGCCAAAGCGCGCACCAGCTGCGCGCCGCGCACGGCCAGAGCTCGTTCAGCTCTGCAAGCTTCTTGTCCGCCGCCGGCCACCGTCTACGTCAAAACTGTGCAGTGGGCCGACCCCAGGGCGGTGGGCGTCTCCTCCAAAGCCAATGGGAACACAGAGCAGCGCCTCTGTGAGGCGATTGGCCAATCGGGCGGCGAGCCCGCGGAGGAGTGGCCCCTGCCGTCCCCGCCTCCGGAGCCCAGCACCTGATCCCCGAGGGGCGGTCCCGTCCTCCGTCTCCTTGGGACCCACGGTTTCGGATCGCGGTTTCTCGACGCTGTCTGCGGGCTTGCTTGGCTCTGGTTCGGCTTCAAGTAGAACCTTCCTTGTGATCTTCATCATTAAAGGCGCGGGGAAGCAGCGGAGGGGGGGCCGTGGGGCAAGAGTCAAACGGGGTGGCGAGCAGGATGCAAAACTCTCGTGTTCTCAAAAAGTGAAGGAAAAAACGAAACTAAACTAAATAACTAAAATAAAAATGTAAAACCTCCTGAACGCTTGAAAACGTTTTAATTGACTATTGGGGAAAAAGGGAAAGTTAAAACCAAAGTTGCCGGATATCTAGAAAATACAGATGCTGAAGCACTACGTGTAGATAGATGCTCATTTGGTGTCGCTGAAGCGGGGGATTCACAGCGAAAGCAAATGAAACATCCAGGGCGAGGGTTAGAAATAGACAAAAGCAGAACAGAGAAATTAGTAAAGATAAAAGAAGAAATAAATGAATTAAGAAAACTAATATCAAAGGAGTAATAAGTCAGGGATGGGGGGGCTGATAAAACAGACGGTTAACCAATCTAATCAGAAGGGGGATGAACGCTTCCCACAATTAAAAAACATAAGGGGGGCGGGTCTCAGATCTAGGAAACAAATACAGATTTGTAAGAGACTAACCTTGCTCAACTTTAAGCAAATAAATTTGAAAACCTGGATGAAACAGATGATGTTACAAGAAAATACAATTTACCTGAGCAGATCCTGGAAAAGAGAGAAAATCTAAACAATTACCGTAGAGCTAGATCATATTCCTATTAAAGAATCACCTTTCCTGAAGCAGGTGGCCCACCTTGCTTCACAAGGAAATTCCACCCCCGTGTGAAGAGTAGTTGACTCCAGCACCGTTATTTTGTTCCGGAGCACAGAAAAAATGGGGTCTGCCTTTTTCATGGGGGGATTCTTTTTATGAAGTAAGCATAACATTGATACCAAAATCTAGCAAAAATAGGGTGCACACACACACATTCACCCCTGTAGTCCGATTTTACTTATATTATCAGTGGAAAGATCTCCTGTGCAGCATGGTGACTATAGTTTATAATACTGTACTGTACCGTATGCTGAAATTTGCTAAGGGAGTAGATCTTAAGTGTTCCCACCACGCACCAAAAAAGGCAACTATGTGAGGTGCTGTGTTAGCCCGATTGCAGTGATCATTTCACAATGCGCACATATAGCAGTTCATCACATTGCACACTTTAAATAGATACAATGTCATGTTTATACCCCAGTAAAGCTGGGGGTGGGGGTGCAGGAACTAACTAGTATAAAGAGAAAACGAGAGGCCAGGGCGTGCCTGTGAGGCGCGCAGCCGGCCTCCCGGGGCTCCCTCCCGCGGCTCAGCCCGGAGCCCCG